GGGGGGGGGGGGGTGTAATTTTCACTTTTGTTAAATAATTTTTTACATTTAATTTTTATTTTTTATTTATTGATAGATTTTTTTTACTGTTGAGGGGCTTCGGGAAATATATTTGGGGTCCAAATAGACCCCTGACATTTCCCTTTTAAAATAGAAAAGTCCTCAATTTCTTTTTCTGCCGCCTCAGCACTCAGTACAGAGGCTTCCCATTCATTCATAAACTGCTGATAGTAAAATATTTACTATCAGTAGTTTCTGAATGGGGAGGAGACTCTGTAGTGACTGCTTCTCCCCATTGAGAAATTCATGAATGAACAGGAAGTGATTTAAATCACATCCTGTTCATTCATAACTGGGGACACATAGTACTATGTGTCCCCAGTTATTTACAAACATTGGAGTGATCAGACGATCACTCCAGTGTTTGTTCCGCACACACTGATATTTACCGATCCTCCGCTCGGCCACGCACATAGCCGCTCTCATCCTGAAACTGACAGGATGACAGCAGCTGCTCTCTCTTCCCCGCTCAGACGTCCTGAAAGCTGCAAGTGCTGTCATGTCGGATGGCCAGCAGTGAGGAGGAGAGTGGCCGCAGGCTGTAGCCACCCCGAGGACGAGCTGTGTCGGCCGCTTGGCGCCCTTGTTGCCGAACACCCCAAAGGCCGGCCCTGGTCACCATGGTTCCAACCAACCAAAGGCTGGAGGCAGGGAACTGACCAAGCTGTACTGCTTAACTGACAGTTAAGTGCCAGTTAGGTCACCGATTTTACTGCATTGTGTGGCAGGGTTGTATAAATCTCAATACTGGATGGACATATTTACAAATCCATGGCAGGTTAAACAGACCCCATATATTTGAAAGAAAGTTACTTAAACAGATGTAATTCATTTTCCTTATGTAGGTCTCTGTGTGGCTTGCCCTTTCTGCGATTGGTTCTGCAGGGCAGAGTAAGCAGCCCGGAAAAAAAGGTTTCCTAAGGAACTTGGCTACTGATGTGATACATTCACTTTGAACTTTGAAAAAGAGAGTTGCTGTTTGTTCCGTGCTTAATAATGTTAGGTAAAAGTTTTTGAAAGTTCACTATTGCACAGCACAGTTCAAAGTCATTGATCACTCATTAGATACTATAAAAGAATACCTGGTATGAGGGTAATATGAATGCTTCAGTACAGAGGCGTAACTAGAACCTTCAGGGCCCCGGTGCAAGAAACCATGAAGGGCCCCCCACCGGCATGGCACCGCATGGTTAACAGGAAGGCTGCCGAGGTCGCGAGCAAGCGCGGGACCTCAGGCAGCTGCTTGTTTAAAATGTTAGTGCAGTGTTCCGTCTCGAACACTGCCCCAGTATCCGCGCTTACGTACAGACGGGATTACCAAGGAAACCGGCATT